GGATGAGGATGAGGATGAGGATGAGGATGAGGATGATGATGATGATGATGATGATGATGATGATGATGATATTGATGATGATGATGATGATGATGATGATGATGATGATGATGATGATGATGATGATGATGATGATGATGATGATGATGATGTGATGATGATACCACTATTGCTGTTGGTGTATTCATATAGATTATTATTACAATGATGATGATGATGATGATGATGATGATCGGGGTGGTGGTGATGATGGTGATAAATCCAGTCTCAGCACTGAGGCTCCCGTATAGAAATTCTCGTCAATGAGTGAATAAGATTCTAACAGACGATTCTGCACACGCTTCTATTCTGAACACAGCGTTCCAGACAACCAATGTGCCCGAGTTATGCCAGCCGAAAGGGCGACGAAAAAGCCGGAATTTCTATAGTTTCTTAGACATCGCAAGATCATCACCAACATCGACAGCATGACGTCAATGTTTAACACAGATGCTTAGCTGCCGTACAACCACGATTCAATTGAAAGCCTTACTGTGAATAAAAGAATAAAGGTGGACAGGGAAGGGACTTAATTCTAACTTACTGCAACCATTCCTAGGTACCTACACCTCCAGACATTCACTTAGGCAATCTGGATAGAAAATGAATACAAGAACGCCACTGACATCGATTGATAGCCATGTCTTGCAGCGCCTTCAACTAGGAGCAGTGGGGATCATGGTGTCCCCATCCCGGAACGGGAGTAGAACCGACAGCGCCCAAACATTTCATGATTTCTTTCATACCCTTCTGCCATGTCAAAGGTTAGAGCCACCTCTCTATTTCCGCCACTCTGAGTTGCGCATGGAAAACAGTACTCTCTTCGGAAAACGACGGTTAGGCATACGCAACACATGTCCCAACCAACGCAGCTTCTGGTGCTGGACACATTCTTCAATGGAAGTACCCGTTACACAACCGAAAACACGCTCTCTAATTATCTCGTTACGGAATCGCCGACACCAACCCACACGAGCTATGGTTCTGAGGGAACGATTGTCGAACACCTGGAGACGTTTCAGTTCCGCTGCCTGAACAGGTCAAGTCTCACAGTCATTCATACAACACAACAGCCTTCACTTGATACACACGTCACTTCAGATTACGGGATAAACCACTCTGATACCATAGGTGTCCCAGATTAGCAAACGCGACGCGGGCCTTGCAGATTCCTGCATTGACCTCATCCGTCACACTACAATCGGAACTAATACAACTTCCAAGATATGTAAAACGCTCCACAACTTCGATGCTTCCTCTGGGTTGTAAATGGCGTGTTCAGTGACTGCATGTCCACGAGCATGACCTTACACTTTGTAGGTGCAAAGTGCATACCAAAGGACGGGATGACTTTGGTCAGTTCATCCAAGAACACTTGCGCCTTCTCCTCCTCTACGAAGATGAGAACGATGTCACCTGCATATTCTAGATCGACAAGTTTTCGTCACAGGCTACTTGAACACCGGGGTTTTGGAGAACTTCCAGCATTCGCCTCACGATTTCATCAGTCGCCAAGTTTAATAGAAATGGCGAAAATGGGTATCCCTGGCGGACACCACTTTGTGTACGGAAACTTTTAGAGAGCTCGCATCGCAAGATAAAGCATAACTGTGTGAAGTCTTCTCGACTATCAAGTCGGTATCGTCTGCAGAGTTATCGCTTTAAATGGCGGCTCAGCAAGAAGTCCTCGACCGCATAAGCTGGACCAGGAATAAATGCAGGAAAAGCCCTCTACTAACTGCGAAGAAGTCACTCAAATTACCCTGTTTAAATACTTGGAACCAGTAATTCTGCCAAATAGCCAAGCGATGGATGAGGTCGGTACGGTTGATAAACCCTGAAGAATCTGCAGTTGAACAGTACGTTCTGCGGACGCCCAGACATAAACCTCCTCATAGAGCTCCGCGTATACAAGGTAGTCTTCTGGAAGATACTAGCGCACCCATGTGGAACCCACTCTTTTCGAGTTGGTGAGCCCCATACTTACGAAGTGTTGAAGCGTCATTGGCGCGTTAAATGGTTAAATGGTATTTTGATCGTATTGAATAGTGCACCGCGGCCACAGTGAACCGTTGGGCGATCGGTGTGCAGTTTTTAGAGTCGTCCTTCTCTGATCTGTAGATTCCTGGGAGAATGCAGTATCGCTGCTTCCATAAATACGAACATACTGGTCATCTGGGTGTACTACCCTACTATTTTCGCAGAGGACTACACAACTTTACCTTCAGGCTGTCTTGTATTGCTATTATTCGTAGTGTATTCAGTGTGCCCGCGAGATCACTGCAACTCGATCACCTCCATCACATCAAGGTGATAGTTGTTGTTCGGGTATGGAAACGTAAAGTACCATTCTACTTGTGACTAGTTGACATGCTTAATGGTAAATCAACGATGGAACCTGCCTTTTCAAAATCTTCTTTTATCAACCTCCAAAGACGCCGTGCAGCGTCCAGATGTCGGTCTCTCTGAGTTCTAAGGAGGAAAAAGTTGCCGGCTAGAATGCGACCACGCACGACGTCACCAAATCCCTGAGATCGTGTTGCAGCGAAAAGGGCTTCAGTGCTGTTCAGATCCTCTTGTAGCTCCGAGACCTTCGACGAGTCCGGCCCTTGTTTGGCCCTGTAACCATACTTGAGGCCATCATACCTAACCGGAAAGGATAAGAGGAAATTCCGCTGCAAATAGATATTATTAACAAGTTATTAGGTACATGCTCACAATTAAATTGATCGTTTCTACAGTGGCTCTTAATTACGACGAAAAGCCAAAGTGGTGAACATCCACATTGACAAACAGACACGTGCTTGATGGCAAAAGACACGATAGAATTAATAGACGTGAACTCGAATTTCACTCCTGAGGCTGTATACCAATTCATACTCCTGGGCTTATATCAAAATCATTTTTCTGACCTCAGAGGAACTGTTTGAAGCATTCCAACTAGATTGTGGTTGCCGGTTGTCTAACTTGAATACATTGTTACTCGGTAAACAGACCGTACTCCGTAAACAATAAAAAATCGTCCAGCTGCAACACCCTTCCGGTGCCTAGCTGCCATGCCACCCGAAGGAAGCACGAGCGCTGGGATACTGCCAGGTCGCCCAAGCCTAGACAGGGGAATTCGAGAGGCGGAGGTCGGATTCGAACCACGGACCTTCCGGTCAGTAAATTCGCGCTCTAACCACTTGGGCCACGGAAGAGAAAAAGGCATCGACATCACGCTCGTTTGGACAATATCCTTCCGCCCTCGTGCACTTATCTCGGTCAATCCATAGTAGAGTGAAGAGCACTAGATTCGAATTTCATTCTTGATGGATGGTATCAGCAAACTTCCTGGAGTGAATCCAGGTAGGACCTAGGATAAGCCGGAAGCGAAACCCGAGCCCGAAGCTCCTGTACGCTGAACAGTAATGTGAATACATGTGCAAAAACTCCTGCAACCACTCACAAGTAATCTACTGAAATTTCAATCCGTACCGTTTAACCGAAAATTCAGTAAACCTAACGTGATTTGATTCCGAAATCACTGTAGTCAGTCGGGCGTGTTCTAATTGATAAATCTTGACGTAACGGCATATTTCATTTTAACGAGGCCTACAATGATTTCTTTCGCGCCGTGAATTTACCCAGGACGCACAGGATGGATAGGTGTTCAAACAAAGACACTGTGGCATACACCGCTGTCATAAAACTATTCGCAGATACAATTGTTATTAGCAGGTGGTAGGGACAGCTTACAGCGAATCTCCCGTTAGGGTTACTTATGAATGCAACACGTGTAACACCAAGTAATGAACTCAACAAATTTCTCAGCCGTACACAACCGCAGCATGCAGTAGCGGTAGCCTCATGCACCATTTTGCCGATTGCACCAGTCTGTTCATGCAGTTCTTTTTTTGAATCGTTCAACTGTAACAACTTTTCGGTGCGTAGCTGCCACGCCACCCGAAAGAAGCACGAGGACTGGGATACTGCTAGATTGCCCAATCCTGGACAGGGAAATTCAAGAGGCATTGGTGGGGCTCGAACCACGGACCTCCCCATCAGTAGATTCGTGCTCTAACCAGTGAGCCGTCTCAGCAAGGTATTTTGCAGAAAAATGATGCCTAGATTCCGTACAACCTTGTATTACGTAATTTTGTTAGTGACGACTTTATCAACAGATGGTACGAAAAAACAAGTCTACAAACCATTCCATATAACCGACCTGGCCATGTTTGAAGCCACTTCTGCCGCACATATTACTGAGTACACTGTTGTTGCCATCGGATTATGCGGCAAGCGGATAGATTTCACGACACATGAGAATTCGTCTGCAAGCCAGCCTGCTACACGGTCCCACACTGTTAGCGTTTCACTGGTTAACCCAGGAGCATGATATTCCACAGGAATTCCTATACGAACCTGACCAGTCGAAATCTGACAATCAGACATAGAGCAAGCGATGTCTTGGAGATCCCAGTAAAGCCGTTGTAATTGCGATTCTGGAAGCGGAAGACAGGTAGCGTCTAGTTTCCGGGCAAGTGTGTTCGACGGACAGAGCCAAACAGAAAGGATAGAAGCTGCGTCAGCAACACAGGAGGTAACGAGAGAAGGAACATCCAACGCGTTCACCAAAGGTATTAGACCATGTCTAGAGACTAGACCGTATGTGGGTTTGAAACCAACTACTCCACAATAGGCTGCTGGCAAACGGGCCGAACCTCCAGTGTCAGACGCTAGGGCAGCCACGCACAGTCCAGCTGCAACCGCAGCAGCACTACCTCCCGAACTGCCTCCCGCAATCACAGGAGACTTATCTTCTCGAGTTTGTCTGCACGACCAGGGGTTGAGAACAGGTCCAGAAACCTGGCCATCTGTAGCACCACACCCCATCGCGAACTCATCCATATTGGTCTTTCCCATCAGCAACGCTTTTGCTTCGACCAGGGATGCAACGACCTAAATGAAACATAGACAAAACCGCAGATGCTTACAACACAGTCGATAATGCAGTTACGAAGACAGCATAAACTTCAACAAGAACGTTGCAGAGTTCTTTGTCTGTGAAATAGATAGGCACCTTCGAGAGGTAAATAGTGGCATCAAAAACCGTCCCTTAGGTAACCCTTCTTCCAAAAAACGGTTAATTTCACCTGGCTTCGTGTTAATCGCCAACAGAACGGTGGTCACAGAAATAAATACTTCCTCCACGGGAAAGGAAAAGCTCGATAACCTATCAAGATCGGTATGCATGGCGGCGGTGGAGGAGAAGGGGTCTCATCTGTGAAAGTGCAACCCAACGAACCGCTGTTGCTGTCGCAGAACTTGTGGGACGCACACTGTTACAAATACTCAACAGGCGTGTTTCGTAAGACGATTTTGTATGATGCAATGATAACTAGTACGAGTTGGTGACGACAAACGATCCAGTGGTAAACGGTTCACCAAGGAAGGTTTACCCCATTGTCAGACGCTATGATAAATAAAGTGTACAACAGCAAGTAAATAAGGCGGCAGTCAAGGTGACTTCGGTGGAAAAGTGCTAATTAAAGCCTATGGAGTGATATGGTAAGGGTGTGCAGCCCGGAGGGGATAGAAGAGGTAAAATGGTCAGTATTTTCGACGGAAATATCGACAAAATAGGAAAAGGGGCACTGCATTCTGACGATGAGAGGTTGGTAAGTCGTGGGGTGGCAATGGGGCAGTCCACAGTTGTTAGGCAGATGCATGTGGTCCTGCCCTATATGTGTTGGCAGTATTAAAAAGTAAGACTAGGCTGAGATAGAGAACAAGAATTTGGAAGAGTAAGGTACTTATGTGCACTTCTTCGAGTAGCCTGTAACGATCGGCTTGGCAAAACGGGACTGTCAGAAGTTCAAGCCTACGGCGGCAAATAAGATCAAGCAATACCACCAAAAACTTGTGAACACGAAAAAGGCAGTGAGGTATGAGGTCAATTCGAAGGGAACTGGGATGATGGAATATCCTAACCGTGAATTCTGGCGAGATCAGCGTTTGTGGTAATGATAGCTCATAAACTATTAATTGCAATCTAAAAACAGACATGGCGATGGAGTAGATAGGACATGGTGTGATTGAAGACGACACCACTGGAAGTTTTTTTCAATACCGAAGGGAGCTTCAGAAAATAGCGAACAAAGAACAGAACCCTGGAACCCTCGTAACAGGAGATTGGGAGAGGAATAGCAGATGGACCCTTTGTATTTTTGCAGGGAAACAGCGGGGTTTGGAAATATTTGGGATGCGAGAGGCTAGACTAAACGGGGAGCTCATTCGAACGGTCCATTCACAGTAGATCGTCCGAACTAACGATCACGTTACAAAACAATGTAGGTCATATAGTCTAAGTTCAACCACTTTTCTCTAGGTGCTGTTCAGATTCTTCAATACCTCTGGTATCCATTTCATGATGAATCGGTAAAATTGAATGGGAAGGAGAATACAGAGTGACCTGACGAGTCGTTGGATAACTTTTGGATCGCCAGTTGGAAACTGTTACATAAAGTAGATACATAAAGTTATAAATCATTTACTTTTGTCTAGATATGTGTAGGTGGGTCACATACCCTCATATGGCCATGTTATTGGTCGGCGGTATGCGTGGCTCTGCTAGTATTCGGCGTAATGCAAACACATGTCCCGCCTTTTCGAAATCCTGCATGATGTTCTCGGAGTAGCGTTTCGCTTTCCGAAGTTGAGCAATGCAGCACCAAAGAAATTCGTAGCTATGTTGCGATAGGTTTGGGAATTATACTTCTACGGTTGAAAGATTCACTGAGACTAAATTTTTGAATAAAGATACAACCGACTGGAGCCCATTTTTCCCAAATGCGTTTTCGTTCCCAAATAAGTCAACAGAATGTAGTCGGGGTAGAACACCCACACAGTCACCACTGTCTCTGAAAACCCATGATGGGAGCCCGTCTGGCCCAGTAATCTGACAGTCTTTGAAGGCACAAGCTGATAGAGCAAGACCCAAATTGATTTCGTACAGCCCCTATGGCACTAAGCCCTCGGTCTTGTGGGCTGTGCAGTTCCCCCATGCGTCTACCAACGCCCGGGCTTTGTTTGGGCTGACGAAGTATCTACAATCTAGCCGAGGTTGTAGTCCAAGCTTGGGAGAAATCGCATCGTATACGTGTTTTTCTGAGATCCAATGTTTCCTATGCTATCTCTGAAAACACGTGGCGCTTCCAGCGTCACAAATAGTTGCGGTTACGACCAATGTTCTCTGAGGCAGCTGTTCGTGAGGCACTGCGTAGTTTGTCATGATAAGTTTACCTTGTGTCCCACAAAGCTCCTCTTCTACTAAACAGGGGTTCCATTTCTTAGATTTACCGGAGGGACGTGGTGGAAATCTACACAGGATGGAATTGTGATCCGAATTAACATGCATTCCACAGTATTCAGCAATCAAGGACTGACCTTTGTCATCAGTAGCTGATGTATATTTGATCAGTCTGGCGTTCTGGTGACTCAACGCTGATGGCATGCTAAGTAATGCCATGACTGTGTTCAAACCCCGTACCAGTAACACAACTGATCGTCGGCACAATAGTTCAAAACGCCCTCACCAATAGCTTTGCGTTCTATCTCCGATGAACAAAGAAGCCCCATTTGTGAGTTCAAATCGATCAGAGCTCATCGTGGTGAGCAATAAGATAAATGGGTAGGGAGATTCACTTAGAGCTACAGCTGATAAGTGAGTAAATATGCTTAACTGAAGCCATTAAAGAAGACAAGCTTCGCAAGCAATGCCGAGTAGAAAAGGACGATGAGCGTGTTCGATTATAGAACATATTACAATTTAGGTGTTATCGTTGTGGAGATAGTCATAATGATCCAAAGGAATGCCAACACATAAGAAAGGGTGAAATCGTTGGGGACGAAAAAAGGTGAATGTTCCATATAAGAGAGTGACGGTAAACGAAACCATATACATCGCTGAAGAAAACGGTTTAAATCTGTCAGGACGTGACTGGCTATGCAATTGCCCATACTTACGTTAAATGAGGTCTCACCACTCCCTGAGGTTCAGCCGCCTATCCGAAATTATAAGGAATTATTTTCAGAACCGAAGATTGGCAAGTTTCCTGGAGGGGAGGTGATATGTATGTTCCGCCAGGAATACAGCCGCGTTTTCTAAAGGACCGGTCATTGCCCTATTTGATGGATCCAAAAGTCGAAAAATAGCTTAACCAATAGCAACGTGGAGGAATAATTCAAAGTACAGAGTTTCCGGAGTGGGCTACATCAATCATGTCGATAATGGCACAGTTGAAATTTGCGGTGACTATAAAGCCACAACCAATGTTAGCATACCCACGGATGGAAGGAGTGTGGACAACGATTAAAAAAGAGAAATGTGGTATTCTGGCTGGTCATTTGAATTATTTGAATTTTCATATCAGTGCAGAAGGGTTGACTCCTCCGGCGGAGAAATTACGTTCGGTACTAGAGGAACTGATGGTACATGTGACCATCATCATCATTACCAACAGCCCCACCAGTATTCAAGGTGATACATGCCAGAAAAATAGGGCTTTGCGAGCAACAGCACCGATATCGCCATGGCAGTGGCTGTCACGACCGTGGAGGCGCATACACGTGGACTGCGGTGGCCCTATTGATGGCTATATGATCCTTGTGATAGTGAACGTTTATTCCAAATGGACCGACGCTGTGTCTATCAGAACTGCATCTAATGCGTCTACCAAATTTACTCTACACAGCAATTTTGCATCGCACGGTGTACCACGATTGCTTCATGGCAGTGGCTGTCACGACCGTGGAGGCGCATACACGTGGACTGCGGTGGCCCTATTGATGGCTATATGATCCTTGTGATAGTGAACGTTTATTCCAAATGGACCGACGCTGTGTCTATCAGAACTGCATCTAATGCGTCTACCAAATTTACTCTACACAGCAATTTTGCATCGCACGGTGTACCTGGTACGATTGCTTCCCATTACGACACGGCATTCACCAGTGCGGAATTTCAGCTGCTTTTGAAAACCAACTAGATAGAACATGCCTTAACAGCACCTTACAACCCCGCTTCTAACGACCTATCTGAACGCTCGGTGGCAACCGCGAAGAGCGGATTGGTGAAACAAAACACAGGTCCTCTACAAACAAGCCTAGACGAACTTTATTGCAGTGAAGGGTTACGCCGCATACTAATACAGTAGCCCTATGAATTACTAATCGGACGGGGAATGCGAACACGTTTGGGTCTTCCACGGCCGGATTGGGCAGTTAAGTTCAAACGCTGACAGTGTTAAATGAAGCAATACGCCTGACATCACACATACGTAGTGGCAAGGATGTTCCCATCAAACTTCAGCCTTCAGATACGGAATGGGTGTGTGGATGTATAACGTCAACAAACCCCATCCAAGCATTGAGTCTCTGATAGGACCGTGTCCTTGCTGGAGACCCGGCGACAGACCCCACCTGGTCGCCACCACAACTCCACCGGGCGCATCACCCGACGCCAGGTGAAACTGAGTGTCCGCGCAGACCGAGAAGCTTGGTGGGCCCGAAAGGTAGAAGAAATGGAAGATGCGGAGAATGCTGGAAACGTGCGCAAATTGTTCCAGTTGATTCGTTCGACTGGTCCTCGGAGACCTTTTGTCAGCGAAATAATCAGGGACAAAAATGGCTTCCTGATATGCAACAAAGCAGAACGTTTAGACCGCTGGGCACAGTATTTCGAGCAGCAGTTCAGCTGGCCATCTGCCACCTCCACTCCAGAAACCTGGCTTTCAACAGAAAGGTGGACCGTAAACATGGAGGTGCCTTCAGTCTCAGAAGTGTCCGGATGCATTTCTCTACTCAAGCGTCATCGCGCTGCTGGTCCTGACGACCTTCCACCTGCTCTCTTCAAGGATGGCGGTGGATTCCTCAGTCAGTGCCTGTCTAGCCTATTTGGGTTTATCTGGGAGAAGGAG